CCCCAAAACCCCAAAACCCCAAAACCCCAAAACCCCACATAGGTGCAAAGATTAAAGATTAGTGAAAATTTAATTAGAAAATATTAAATCAAAAGTCAATATCTTTTTTTCATATAAGGGACTGAAATTTTATCAAAGCAAGGTTCCCATTTATAGGCAGCAGATCCAGGAATATGTTTCTTAGAATTTGAATACTCTACAGTGAACTTTATAGATTTTGACTTCGTAAAGCTTATCACTGGATGCTTCGTTTTAATGAAAGTTTTTGATTTTGCAGTCTCATATGTTCCAACATCTGGATCCTTTGTCTTTTTTGGCCTCCATCCTGGGTCTTTTTCTTTTATTGGCTTTTTTATTGCCCAGCTTGATGATCTCTTCATTAATTTTAGTTTCTATTTCAAAATTACTATGTATATTATTTATTACATCAGGATTGTATGAAGTGGCACTTGGATTTATTTGACCCAAGTATTAAACTTCACTCATGAAATCGAAACCTTCAGCACGACTATAAATAGAAAGTTACAGAATACACTTGTTACTTCGATTTGCCAAGAAGAACTTTTTGTTTTTTTTCATTATTGTAGACATTCGGTGCTGGAACTTATTTAGAATGTTTTATTGCATCATCAGTGAAAGTCTTTCTAATCGAGTTTTTACCAAATTATCCATTTTTGGTTTCCCATGTTAATGGCTTGTGATATTAATTGGGAGCAGGTAATAGTTTGCCTCTTCTTTGAGTTTATTACAAAAAGTTTTGTAACTTGTCTCTTGGAACTGAATATTTTGGTTCTCGTGGTGGTAGCCCATGATAGGGCATTTTATATCCTTCAATACCGAATGCGGATGATTTATTATCTGAATAACTTATGGTATTTAGGGAATGACCTCTATCATGTAGATGAGATTATGGAGGTCCAGTTCGAGCTGAAATAATTGTGGACTCTATATTGAGGTAAATAAACCATAGAATGACTTAATCAAGATAACTTACAACTGCTTTATTAAGTAAAAGCTGTTTAAGGCCTTAGCATTTTCTAGCTTGCTGCTGCTTAGTTAATGGCTTGCTAAGATTAAGCGTGTTGCTAAGTTCCAAGATAAGCAGATACTGGTCTGATATTCGAACCTCCTCTTCCTTCAATATGTGATTTGTTTGCTATATAGTTATTTGCACTTGCAGTAGATAAGTCAACTAGTTGTTTGGCATAATCTATAGTATGCATCATTTTCTTAAAGTTAAATTTAAATATAATTAATTAAAATTAATAAATGAAAATCTCTTAATTTCTTAAAATTTACTCATTGTCAAAATTACCTAACAATTTTTGATTGCGGGGTTTTGGGGTTTTGGGGTTTTGGGGTTTTGGGG